TCTATGATTCTATGATTCTATGATTCTAAGTTAGCAGGTCAGGGGGGTTTTAGGCTATCATTGTTGCTCTTCAGTGCTGTTGGAAGCATAAAGCACTGACTTGCTCTTTAATGTGCAGATAGGGCACACAAGGGAGATGGAAGAAGAGCAAAACTCTAAGAATCATTCTTTATTAGAACAGCAAGAAAAATGTATAGGCTATGATGAACACATTTTTCAAAATGTTGCAAATAAAAACAAGCACACAAACCCCCAAAACAGCTCCCAGGAACAACCCAGCAAATTATTCCAAAGATGGAAATTGTACATCTTCCTGTAACACTAGCTGTTGTGGCAACAGCCATTGCTAGGCCACTACTGCCCAAATACCCCCGTGAAGGTATCTGCAACAAACATGCCTTTTGATTCTGTTCAAGAGGGAAGAATTATGTGCAGTTGTAGATTTGCCAAAAAACCACGACTGCACACATGCATAACAGAATAATATTGTAAAGCCAATTTTTTTAACCAAAAAGCACCCTCCAGTGAATAGAATAAGTTCTGTGGCTTGCCTTGTTCACATTGCCTGGGCTTCCCAAACTGAGAAAAAATATAACTGTCTTACCTGAGTATGAAATTACAGGTAAAAAGGAGCATAAACGATCTAAGAACTTACATTCTGTTCCCCATTTTTGCAACATCCAGACATTCAAAGCAAACAAGCACTTACTGCAAAAACAAAACAAAACAAACAAAAAAACCAAACCAAACCACCCAAACCAACCACCCTCAGAAAACAGATTTTTGGCATGCATTGTGGCTGTGTACTTACCTTAATATACATACAATTTTTTTAACAGCACATTGGACGATATCCTTGGGAGAAAGGCCTAGATCTCCAACAGCCACTTTTAACAACTGCTGTATCATGTCCAGGGGTTGACCATCTATACACATAGCAACTGCTTGGTCATGGATTTTTTCTTTCTCTGACCTTGACAAATCATATAAATACCCATACTTCTGTAATGTATCCTGTGAGCAGATAATTTTTGAACATAAATCAGTGTGCTCTTTATTTACACGGCTGTTATCATTCAGAGTCTTTCTATCAAGGTCTAGCATATAGTATGAAAAAGAAAAGATTGATAGACATGAATTTACAAAAAACAGGTCAACAAAAACAAAGATAGAAAACTTTAATAAAATAGGACAGAAGATTGATGTCCATCACTATTAGTCATGGTAACACTCAAAACAAGCACTTGATCTGTAATCATTACCTGTTTGCTGTTCTTCAAGTAAGTGATAAAACTATGAGTGAGTGTTTCCAGATGAGCAAGAGATTGCTGTAAGTGATTCAGAGTTTCTTCATAAGCAACAGATGGATTTTCAGCATCTTCCATATCATTCTCCAAAGTTTTTTTCCTTGATTTTTCAGAAAGATGGATGACTATCCCAATAGCCTTCTTAGTCACTTCTATCCTGGCTTCAACCGGCAGCTGAAAAAGATTACTTGATATTCAATCATCCATCACCTGTACAGTACCATTTGTATTACAGCAGTGCCTGGAAGTCAGGTTGCTCTACTATTCTACAGCACAGCATAAAATTAAATGAAGTATTTTATGAGAAACAACTTTATTTGTAATTTATTTTAAAAATATCAGCATTCCATTACTTTATTCTGTTGTCTTTCCTTTGACGGGAGGTTGAATCTGGCTCATTTTAAACCATGTGAAAATTATTTTCCCCAATAATATTTATTATTTTGTAGATTGTCACCATGTAATAAATTTTAATTGAGAGATGTCAGGGGATCATTTTACAGGATTAACTGAAAATCCCAAATACTGAAAATTAACTTAAGGTTAGTTTTAAGCAAAAAACAATGGGAGGTCCACAACTTTTAAATCAACCTATTTAAACCACAAGTTATACAAAACAGTTACTACTTTGAAAGACCTGTAAAACTAGATATACTAGTTTCAGCAAACTGTTGTTCCTCTAAGTCAAGAAAGACACAGTTTCACCTGTAAGTCCAAAACAAAGTTTGAAATACGATTTTAAAAATTCATGTATGATTTGTTAGATTCTAACTTCAGTTTTAAGGATACTATCTAATGGGTGGGTGTCTCCCCTGCCTAAACCCACAGCTTTAGGTACTTTAAATATCAGATATCTTAGTTACTGGAATACTGGACAAAGACATATAATTTTAATCAAAAGGCATAAACAAGAAATAGCAAACAAAGAGCTTGATTCTGTATGGAACACTGAATAGGAAAGAGGCTGAATGACCACATAAAGAAGAAAATTAAACTGCTATAGTATCATAATAAAGTTAAACTGATGTTTACATTATAAATTAAACTAAAAAAAAAAAAAAAATAAAACCCTAAAGCCATAGAAAGCTTGATAAGGCTTAGTTACCGGAAAGTTTTCAGCTTATATACTTCCCCCTGGAAAATCCCAAACCAACAACCAACCAAGACAAAACAAACCAAAAACAAGCCAACAAAATCCCTGAAAAATCACAGTCAAAGATGTAAGGTTTGCTCCTCATTTTTCATGCTGTTGCTGCAAACCACAGTAATAGTCTACTGGATTTTTAATGATAAAAGCAAAATGGGTGGACATTCTTGTAAGAACTAAGCAAACTTGTCAGTATTAACAGGGTAAATACAAAGGATGTTTTATCATTCTGTTCCAATGCAACTCAGTTCCATTTCCACCTAAAGTAATTAAATATGATTTTGTTACTTTGAACAAGGTCTCAATATCAGGATATGCTGTAAGCAAGGAAAAGGCAATACTTCTCACATCATATTAAAATTTAATGACCACAGATGGATTTACATATCCATTTTGCAAACATGATAAAAGATGAAACAGCTACATTATTCATTTCCCCCCTTCTACTGTACTATCTAATGTCCAAAATGCAATTAAGAGAGACGCAAAAGGCAAACAATTTAAGTAATCCATCTAACCGTTGTATCCTAGAGAACAGCGTGAATACACTGCCAGTTTAGAAGTCATGATGCTGTAAACAGATACAGAACAAAGCATTAAAAAGAAAAGAATACAGGTTCTTCCCAAGTCTATTTTAATCGTAAATTCCTATCTGCTTAGTGCCAAAATGAAGCACTTCTGACATATCGTTTCTCTAGTTATTTTATTCCAAAACATGAATGACTGTCCTCCATACTTCTAGTCAGCTTCAGTAATGAGATTTGGTATCATAATCCATAATAAAGTAAAAAAAAATAAAAGTAGCTTAGGGGCTGGTTCATTCTTTGTTTGTGTGTGAAGTTTTACTTTTAAAAGCTTTTACAGTTTAAATTTCTTCTTAATTCTATAGGCTCTAACATGTTATGAAAAATCCTAAAAAAATATGTTTTCTCTCATTTTCAAATCAAGGAACATCACGTACTATTTCAGCTCAACAGATTTCACTCGTCAGGGTAAAATCTCATCTCAGACACCTCCTTCCTTCAGAATATGTAAGTATTCTTAATGAAGTATTGTACCAGTAACATTCACTTGCACATGAAGATGCTGACCCTGCCGCTCCTATTCCCAGTACATGCAATTTTGAGATTATGGAAATAGCTCCTTTCCGTTTATTGCAACAGGACCTGGGATGCCAGCAATGTTGAAAGACAGAATGGTTGAGGTAGGAAGGGACCTCTGGAAGGCATCAGGTCCGAAGCCCCTGCTCAAATAGGGCTACCTAGAGCCAGTTGCCTAGGACTATGCCCAGGTAGCTTTTGAGTATCTCCAATGTGGGAGACTGTACAACCTCCCTGCACAACTTGTGCCAGTGATCAGCCACCCTCACAATGAAAAATGTTTCCTAATGTTCAGATGGAACAGTTTGGTCCAGTTCCCATCTCTGCCACTAAATCCCAGCTTTATATTGTCCATCAACCAAATATACCGGAATGGAAAGCAAACTACATTAGTTAATTCAGAAGCGGATTAAACAGTTATGGAATAAAAAAAGATGATTCCCAGTTCCTACAGGGGGACTGGAAAAAGAAAGGCAAAAGCAAGAAAACTTGTGGATCAAGATAAAAATAGTCTAATACATGAAGAGGAAAAAAATAACAAACCAAAACTATGTGATGCATAGGCAATCAATCACCACCTCCCACAAGCAGACCAATGCCCAGCCAATCCCCAAGCAACCTTGGAACACACCCTCCAATCCCCTGTTTGTTACTGCTGAGCGTGATGTTATACATCACAGAAGGCACCTCTGGCCAGCCAGTTCAGCTGTCCTGGCTGTGGCCCCTCCCCAGTTTTTGCCTGTTGAGAAAAAGAGAAAGCCTTGACACTGTGCAAGCAATGCACTAGTGAGTTATTAACACTGGTTTAGTCACAAATCCAAAGTACAGCCCCACAGAAGCTGTCGTGTAGAAAGGTAATTCCATCCCTGACAGATCTACTACAGTTCTGGAGATCAGGGTAAAGTTCTAATCCACATAAGGAACCAGTTAAAGAAAAGACATTACTCATGAAGTTTCTTATTATGCAGTCTCGAAGTATATTTAATTAAAATAACTATTAATGGCATGGCACAAGAAAGTACCTGAAAATGTACTGATTTTAGAAAAAGAAATACTGTCAATAACCAGGAAGAAAACAAGGTCAGACAAGAAAAACCAACTGAACTGGAGAACAGTAATAAAAAGTGCTAAAAGAAGCCAAGTAATTCAGAAGGTAACATCTGAACGCAGTCATGCTATGCAAGAATACTATTAACACATTCCTTGTACATCTTCAGGCAATGTCACGCCCTGCCTCTTTCCTTAGCATTTCATACAGTATTATAAAGTCAGTCAGCCAGACCAGATACTGAATCTTACTTTGAACTTTCTTTTTGATACAATTATTTAAAATGGCATTCGAATTCATTAAAATTGAAGGAGAAAATGGTGTAGGTTAATATCCAGCTGTAACAGGTTCTCATTCTACACTCATTCGGTGTGTGGTCAAGATGTGGACACTGTATTCCTGCTTAAGCAAGAAGCAAACTGTCAGAAAAGCATTACTGACTCAGAGAAATTAAGATCCAACCTTTCTATTAAAAACATAAAGTTGCAAGCAAAGTTCTTCCTTTGTATCAGAAGTTGGAAAAGAAACTATAAAGGATGGAACAGTAAACAAAAAATGTCATCAGCCATAGTTTGAATGAACGTGGCCAAGCCTACAGAATGTTGCAGGAGCCCATATAAGGGCAATTTCACCTTCTTTTTCTGTATGGAAGACATAACGGATGATATTGCTGCTTTTTATTCTACTTTTGCCATCTGAAACTATAGTATGTTCTTCCTAATCAACATAATGTGCCCATCTCTGTAATGCATGTTCAATAATGAAAACACAACAATTAAAGTAATTGTTTTCAGTTGTGATTTTGGTTTTTTGCTTTTGTTGTGTTGGGCTTTTTTTTTCAGAGTACTGCTAATCAACAAACATCAGGGCAATGACCTATGAGCTTTGAAACAGATGGTTCTTTGAGGACATTACCGACTATCTAGCACAATAAATAGAATGCTGGCAACAAAGGAATTAAAAAAAAAAATCCCCAAATTACCTAAAATATTTCACACACAAAGGGAAATAAATGGAAAATCATTGAGAGAAAAAAGTTGATATGATCATTACTATAATTAAGAATCTATGATGTCAGCATTATTTAAAAAGCAAACAGATCCACTGGAAGAAAATATGTCAGACTCAAAATGTATGCAAAAATACATGCAGCAGTTCCACTGAATATTTGGAACATCTCCTTTTTTGGGAGAAATCCGTTCCATACACGCAATTAGCCTATGCTTACCAGTATGGAAGTGGATTGAATAATTATTTACTCAGAAAAACTTGAACAGCTACTCAGAATTAAAAGCATTTCTGAGTGTAAGTACCAGAAGCAGGCACTCTCACTGTTTGCAGCACTGAGCTTCTGTTCCTCAGTGTATGAAAAGGGTACTGATGAAAAGGATTTCATCCGTTTCATTTACCACAAACAGAACAAAACCAGTGCATCAATCTTGACCTTCTTCAGCTGAAAATGCATGCTGATATACTGGATCCAAAGAAGAGTTGTGATAATGGAAAAGCTGGTGGAAAAAAAACCAGAAAACACAACAACCACACACACACACAAGAACAAAGCTTAAGTGGCCTCTGCTTAATGTCCGAGTGTGGAAGCAAATGATGATTACCTCTTTAGTATAGCAAGGTACATTAATAGCAAGAATTTCAAGTAGTCACTAGCAGCAATCACATGTGAAGACAGTATTTCCTTCTCATTAGACAACAGTCATTCCCTGGCTACCACAGTCCAAGGTCAGGTCTGGCAACTGAGATCTCAGGGTGAGTGTCAGTCTTTCCTGATAAGCATGAAACACTCAGTATGAGTATGAGATAAAGAGGATCAAAGCATCTGAACAAGACAGTAGTTCTGCTGAACAGGCTTAAGAGACAGCTGATGGAACTAGTGATAAAATGTGTTCGACTAGCATGACAAACAGATCAAAGCATAAATCTTGTGCTGACAAAGATTTCCATATTCACAGAATTTCAATGTAAATTTTTTGCATATGAAATTGTGGTACAGATACAGGGTAGATGTGTTCTAATACATTTCTAGTAATATTGTGGAAATATGACAACAATATCCAAAGAGGGAACAAATCTGAACTCACCTCATTGAACACAGTGAATAAACACCTGCGGAACATGAGCACAATCCAGAACAGAGAAGATAGAGACCAAATAAAAACTCCACTAAACACCTCCTCTTCCTTATCTTTTAATTTCAGAAGAAGTTAGTGAAGACATCTCAAGATCTTCTAATAAGGAAATACCTAAGAAATCCCTTGTTTGTGCTTGGCAGTAGATGCATAAGAAAGCATTATGTTAGAAATATCCTTAGAAGTAGGTTTCACTGGGCAACAAGAAACTACAGATCTGGTAATATATGTTATGGACATGAAAGCACATTATTTCAATCACAGACTTTCAGCCAGATGGAGATTATGACAGTTTATCATCTATATTATTACAGTGCTAAGAAACCATAAGCATAGGCCCAGAATGCTTCTTTGTGGAGCATCCTATTCAGAATGCAAAAGCTTGGTACAAAACACAAGCCTGTGGCCAAATGAATTTTAGGACAAGCACAAGTAAAATACATAAATACAACCACATGATATCTGTTGGAGGGACAAAAGAGCAGGGCATAAGCAATCCAGAAGGTTCCTGGAATCCATTAATGATAACTTCCTTCTCCAAGTGAAAGAGAAGCCAATGAGGAGAGGTGCTATGCTGGATCTTGTTCTCACCAACAAGGAGGGGCTGGTGAGTAATGCGAAGTTCAAGGGCAGGCTTGGCTGCAGTGACCATGAAATGGTGGCATTCAAGATCTGTAGGGCAGCAAGGAGGGCACACAGCAAATCTGCAATGAAACCAAGGTGCATGGTGCAGTTGACAGACTGGAGGGAAGCGATGTCATCCAGAGGGACTTTGACAGGCTTGAGAGGCAAGCCCGTGTGAACCTCCTCGACAAGGCCAAGTACAAGGTCCTGCAACTGGGTCAAGCCAATCCCAAGCAGAACTACAGGTTGGGCAGAGAATGGATTGAGAGCAGCCCTGAAGGAAAGGACTTGGAAGTGCTGGTTGACGAGAAGCTCAACATGACCCAGCAGTGTGCGCTTGCAGTCCAGAAAGCCAACCAAATCCCAGGCTGCATCAAAAGAAGAGTGACCAGCAGGTCAAGGGAGGGGATTCTGCCCCTCTACTCTGCTTTCCTGAGACCCCGCCTGCAGTAGTGTGTTCAGTTCTGGGGCCCCCAGGAATGAGTCCAGAGGAGGGCCATGAAGATGATCAGAGGGCTGGAGCACCTCTCCTACGAACACAGGCTGAGAGAAGTGGGCTTGTTCAGCCTGAAGAAGAAAAGGCTCACGGGAGACCTTAGAGCAGCCTTCCAGTACCTAAAGGGTGCCTACAAGAAGGCTGGAGAGCAACTTTTTACACGGGGATGTAGTGACAAGACAAGGGGTAATGGCTTTAAACTGAAAGAGGGGAGATTTAGATTAGGCATTAGGAAGAAACTCTTCACTGTGAGGGTGGTGAGACAGTGGAAGAAGCTGCCCAGAGAAGCTGTGGCTACACCATGCCTGGCAGTGTTCAGGGCCAGGTTGGACAGGGCTTTGAGCAACCTGCTCTAGTGGAAGTTGTCCCTGTCCCTGGCCG